AGGCCCTTTCAAGGACCCCCGCGCGCGCGAGCGCTTGGAGGGTACTGCCGCCGAAGGACATGAATTTTCATTCTCCCCGAATTATTCTGTCCGTCACGCGGCCGGGGGGAGTCAGTTTTCAACGAGATCTACGGCCACCGCAGTTCTTTTGTGCGGGGGAATTGGCCTCCTCTCGTCCTCGTCCGCGGTAACAAAGATCCGATGCCACGAAATTGAAAAGTCCGNGGGGGGGGGGGGGAGGGGGAGAAGAGGACCTCCGCCGATGCGGTATATTGCGACTGGTAAAGATATTGAGAGAGTGTGCGGCGCGCATTGTGAACCGCTCGTGGGGAAAAATATACGGCTAAATAAGGTCGCGCGGCCGGTGTTTTATGGCCGGCCGGTCGATGGGTGTGTTCGAGAATTTATGTCTTATTTTCGGGCCGACTCCTGGAGGCAGTAGTCGCTACTGCAGTCTGATTAGGTCGCGAGTCTCTGTGGTACGCGCTCCTCCTCGGTACCGCTTGATTTAATGGGTTTTGATTGTGCCGTCCGCCGCGTATATCTTGCACGAACCGCTGCTTTTTTCTACATTAGTCGGGAGACGCGAGCTGTGCTACTTAAGAAAAAACGGCTAATATATCGGTGGTTGTGTAAAAAAGGAGAAAGAAGGGAAGACGCGAAGAAAAGAACAAGTATACACGGAAAAGAATTGGTATCAATTCAAGATTCATATTCTTATGTATATGCAATAGTATATAATATTATATGAAAATAAAACTTGCTCATGCGAAGAAATTCTATATAGTTCCGCTAAAAATATGATATTTATTTTCATATGGGATTATACATTCTTGTTTATACGTAAGAATATGAGTCTTGAATTGATACTAATTTGTTTCCGTGTACGAAGGAAAAGAATCTCCGCTTTTCAAAATTTTTTCGGCTGATATGTCGAAATGTTTGCGTGGTCCTTAAATAATACTGCAATTATTATAAATATTATCTCAAATAAATAACTCTAAAAATTATTTTCCCTTTCCCTCTCAGCTAATATCCTCCTAAGCCAAATCTCTTCGTTGCATCAGTCGTTAGCAAAACAATAGCTTTCGATTTCATCCTCCGTTCGTCCTGGCGTCCTGGCGTCCTTTTCCTCTGCCGAGATTACCGAGGGTATCTTATTAACTCACCCTTCGCCTTTCGGAAAATCTCGGTTTCTTGGGCGGGCGGTCGTCTCACCTGGTCGTTGTCGGTGGATACGTCCACTTGCGGCGCATTTTTCACGGGGGATTTGCTGACGCAATTGCTCCCGCCGTCGGTCCTTTGTCAGAAACCGAGCCGCGTAGGAGAAACTGCACGCAGCTCCTTTGCATCGGCTCCACTAATTCCGGAGGATTTGTTTCGGCACTTGGGGTGTGGTAAGCCCCGACGTCGGCGCTACTAATAACGAGGAATTATCGCCGCGATACAATAGCCCCGGTCGGAGAATCCTCTTTGATGTCACCACGCAAAATAATACCACGCTAATAGAGCGAGATTACGGCGAGTCGGCGTAGACGACAACGACGACGACGACACGTCATCAACCACCATGGATCGCATCCTCGCGTCGGGTTTTCCTCTCCGCGGAAACGCTAAGCCTGTTACAGCTTTACCACCCACTTTGCCCCAATGCCGGTGCGCTCGAGGATATTGTCCTTTCCGCGGACACTGGATTTCACGACGTCGTTTCGTGTATTTCGATAAAGCGCAGTGTATTCATTTCTTTCTCTCGTCTTTCTGTATTCGAAAGTTTTATTCCACATTAGACCTGCGTATTTCGTCAAATTTGAAAAACTAATGAAGAGTCATACAAATAAGATCATATTGTCCTACCTTGATGCTGCTGCAAATGGTTGTTTTGCTAATGTCGTTTTCCTCACGTTAAAGAAGCTAAGAAACGTTAAAAAAGATTCGAAGAAGCATTCATTTAAGAATTATTTAATATTCGATTATCTCAACACTGCCTCTCTACCTGCATTTAATTTTTACCCTTAATTTCAATAAGCGATGCANATATATATATATATATATATATATATATATGTGTATACAAACAATAAACATAAAAATAATTTAATAAAAATAAATGGGCAAACTTAATTAACGAATAAACAAGACGAGAAATAGTCTTGCTATTGTACGGAATCCAAATTAAAAAGCATCCTGCTTTTTAGGTGCTCCGTCGTGGTACTGATATTCATGTATGTACGGCTCAATCAGAGAAACGCATGTTTACACGTTGAATGCTGATTTCCATTGATCATACAAACGTCTAACTGATGATTACATTATTAATGATACAGTAAATAAATATAATTGAAAGTATATGTATCTCTTATTTCATTGGCTCTTTATTGGCTGCACAGTCCATTTTATAAATGCAATTAATCATATTTTATATGCAACTTAACAAGACGCGATAATATCACAGCGCCGGTCACCAGAGACCTCCACGGCATTCAACGTGTTAATTATGGCGACATGTCGACGAGAATCTGATTAAATATTTCAAAGAGTAGATGAAATATTTTTATCACTTGACGGGAGTTGTAACTCTCCAGCTTATGACACACACACACACACACACACACACACACACACATGTATATATAGTGGATCAAAATCAATGATATCCGTTGTACCTCGCGGCTGTTTCTCTCTCTTTCTCTCTTCCTCTCTCTCTCTTTCCCTCTCTCTGTTCCTCTCCCGTACTACCTTTTCGCGCGTGTTTCCATGCGTGAAACGAATCTTTGCAAAGTTCCCGCATATCGCGCGGATCGTGTCACGCGACATTGGATGTATCAGAAGGCTAATTGTCTTCCGCTGTCAGTTGCACCCCACTTGGCCCTGTCTAGGGCACACGCCCCTCCGGGCTACGGCATTGCCGTGGACTCGCCACACCATTTCTCCATCACCCTCGTGCATCGAGTCAGCAAGAGAGTTCACGAGCACGCCATGCACGTCCCAAATTACACGCCAGAAAGGATAAAATAATTACACGTTGTGTCCGCCGCTTTTTCGGCTTTCTATTTCTACAGAGTCACCCTATATAGAGCGCGGTGAGCCGCTATTTGGGGAGAAAGTCATACGTGAATTTTACAGCTGCGACTGTGCTATTCTACAGCTCATCTACAGCGCGCATGCCAAGTGTTTCGCACCGGAAAGCGCAAAAGCGGCGTTGCGGCTCAGCATTTCCTCTTTGCTTCGATGATGATGGGTTTTTTTCCTTCTTCACCAGGGGCGAATTCTTCGGAGCCGGTTTCTCTCTTTCTCTCTCCCTCTCTGTCTCGCAGATTTCGCGCAGCGAAAGACGATATGATCATTGTTATTATTCTCCGATGCAACTTTTCCAAATCCAATATTAAATATTCCTAATTATCCGGTAGCGAGGCATATACTTTTCTTTCGCCTTCCTAGGATGGAACGATGCTCGCGCTACGGACACGCGAGCGCACCTGAGAAACGCAAGGTGCCGCTATCCTCACCTGCGGTGCGGAAAAGAGGCACGAGTCAGAGAGTAACAGCCCAAATGAGCGGGAAAACTCCGCTGAGGGTAGTCGGCCACCACCTGCCGAGCGAGTTTCGACCTCACGCGGACTGAAATTACTGACTGGTGGCGGCAATAAAGTTACACACAGTCGGCATACGATCATAGACGTTATCGGCTCGCGCTTGGGCGAAATTCGCGATCGATCGGAAATTACCGCGCTCGAGGGTGGATCGCATGTCGACGCGCGGACGGCGAATCCTCCGGTGCCCCCCCCCCCCCCCCCCCCC